TGAGGAAGACTGGATATGGACGAGGAAGACTGGATATGGATGAGGACGGCTGGATATGGACGAGGAAGACTGGATATGGGCCTGGAAGAGTGGATGTGAGTGTAGACTTGGGCGAAGAAGAGGGAGAGTGTAGAGGTGAATGAGGGAGAGAGGGAGATGAGTAAGAGTAAGGGAGAGTGAGATGAGTGAGAGTAAGAAAGAGTGAGATGAGTAAGAGAGAGTGAGATGTGTGAGAGGGTGAGGGAGATGAGTAAGAGTAAGCTAGGCTAGCTCAGGTTCCTGGCTGGCTATTAAAGCAACTCCACTTATGGAAGGTCACTTAGCTGATCAAAAACCTATCCTATTACACAAGATAAACAACTTAAAAAAAAAAAAATACATATATATATATAGCCTGGGCGCCTCAGGGAGGGGGAGGAAGGGGGGAAGAAGTGGGGGTGTAGGGGGGAATGGGGGTTGTGTGGGGGGGAGGGGGGGAGTGGGGGGGGGGGGTTGGAGGAATGGGGGTTGTGTGGGGGGGGGTGGGGGTCGTTATTCAGTCTACCACAAGAGCTGAACAACCAGCAAGAATATTTGATATCTGGACATAGGGCAAGAATAAAGTATGGTCGCAGTATGAGTGTATATATACAGAGAATGGCGATACACCTGTGTGTATATATATATATATATATATATATATATATATATATATATATACATGCGTGCGACAGACATAAGTTGTAGAGAAGTATTTAAGTTACATTCGAGATAGCAAAAAATGCATGAAAATAAACAAAAGAAATATATAAAAAGTACAAATAAAGTAAACAAAAGTACAAATAGTAAACAAAATATATACCTAGAATTATATACCACAGTAAACAAAATATATAGCGAGAATTACGAATATTAAATACAAGTAAATGATGTACTTTTTAATATTACTGCTATAAAATATTGCATTTTTTTCAGAGCATTTGTTTACACTTGCCAAAAATCCATTAAAGTTCAGAAGTGCATTTACTCAGAACCCAAAATAAAGAAAATGGCTTCAATCTGCTGCCAGAAATGTCTCCTGCAATCTCGTTTTCTTTTTGGTCTTCAGTAAGCCAGAGAAAATGCGTAAATGATGAGAAAATAATGTTGCAGCATTGCCTGGGTCTGTGTGTGTGTGTGTGTGTGTGTGTGTGTGTGTGTGTGTGTGTGTGTGTGTGTGTGTGTGTGTGCGTGTGCGTGTGTGTGTGTGTGTGTGCGTGTGTTTCAGCGTCCGGCCTAACGTCTGACTCGCCAATGTGCAGCACTGGTATTTTTGTAACCCATTGGCAATACTGTCACCCCCATTTACACAAATTCACTCCATTTCCATCCCATTTACCTTTCCTCCCTTCTTCTACCCCATCATTCTGCCCATCTCTCTCTCTCTCTCTCTCTCTCTCTCTCTCTCTCTCTCTCTCTCTCTCTCTCTCTCTCTCTCTCTCTCTCTCTCTCTCTCTCTCTCTCTCTCTCTCTACTTCCCATGTCAAGCCACCTCGCTCCTGTACCCTTCCTTAACCATCTCCTCCTCACCTCATCACCAACCACATTCCCTCAGAGGAAACACAAATAGCATTCCAATGTAGGAAAGAGATATAAAACTTCCACCACATTTCAGTTCGTTGAAAGATCTTTGACCTTCACGAGTGAACTGCTACGTGCGAGGTCTCTGACTGTCGTGATTGGCTGTAGAGAGAGGGAGAGAGGAGAGAGAGAGAGAGAGAGAGAGAGAGAGAGAGAGAGAGAGAGAGAGAGAGAGAGAGAGAGAGAGAGAGAGAGAGAGAGAGAGAGAGAGGTGATAGGGGGAAAAAGGGAAGAGGAGTAATTTCCCTATATTTCAACGCGATGAGGGATATTAGTAAGGCACTTCTTGTCGGTGATAATGACAGGAATTTCAATGTATTATTATACGAGAAGGGAAAAAATGTCCTCACTATTTGTGTCTGTGGGGGATGGGAATAAGGCAATTCTTTCCAGTGAACACAGGGGTGGGGGTGATTGGAATATGATATTTTCATGATAAAATGGGGGAAATGGTGGGTATTTCCGGGTAAAATAGGAGAGGCAGTGGAGTTAGAAATTAACTCCCAATGGTATATACCCCTGAAACGATCGGGGTGAAGTAACATATTCCCAACGTTTAGAGACTTAATTTATTTTTGTATTATGAAGATGGGAATAGTTGTATGGTACTTTGTGTCGACGGGAATGGGGGATTTTTCTTTATATAACGTGAATGAGAAGTGAATTAGTAATAATGGGTTGCCGCTGATGATGGGCGTCAGTCCCCCTTGTGTTAAACGATGATGGGGCTGAACGCAGCCTTCCTGGACCCTCTAACTCTATAGGATGAGAGGGAGAAAAGGGACAGAACTCTCTTGTAAATGGCATGGAGAGGATTGAACCCCATTGTGAGAAGGACATAGAGAGCTGAATCCTCTTGGGAGCCGTATAGAGAGGAATGAACCATCTTGTGAGAGGACTAGAGGGCACTGAGCCATCTTAGGACAGGGATAAAAAGATTGAACACTCTTTTGAGAGGGATAGAGACGGTTGAACCCTCTTATGAGAGGAATAAAGACGATAGAACCTTCTTGTGAGAGGGATAAAGAGGAGCGAGCCAACTCATTCCCCCACAAATTTCACCTAATATCAAAATTTTCTGATTTTGCAGTGGAAAACGGTAAAATAAAACTTCGCAACTTCAATTATGGATTCGAAAAGGATGATCGTATCGTAAATGTCCCCAGTGTTAGTGGCTTGAGGGGAAGGGACGAAGGGGGCGAGGAAGGGGAGAAGAAGATGCCTTAGCAAGGGGCCATAAGGTACCTAAGGGAGATAGGGACATATTGTACGGAATATTTACGTTAAAAGGTTTCCCTAATGCCGAAAAGTGAATTTCAGTTTTTCTTAGAGAGAGAGAGAGAGAGAGAAAAGCATAGACGAAGGCGGTTTAAGAATTATATTATTATTTTTTCGGTGAGGGAGAGGGAGGGGGGACATTTTATGTGTGAAATTAACATAAACTAATTAAGAGTTATGTGAAGATGGTTAGGTTAGGTTAGGGTTGATTTGCTTTAACGTAGAAGGCTGAGTCTTCTCAGGCCTTAACCATTCCCCACTCCCCCGTCCCCTTGTTCTCCCCACCATCTCCCACTCCACTGTCCCCTCGTCCTCCCTGCCATTTCCACCTCCTCCGTCCCTTCGTCCTCCCCACTATTCCCCAATCCCCTGTCCCTTTGTCCTACCCAATATTCTTCATTCCCCTGTCCCCACGTCCCTACCATCCCCTCGTCCTCTCCCCCTCATTACCCCCTCCCCTGTCCCCTTGATCTCCCTCCATTCCCCACTCCCGTCCCCTCGTCCTCCCCACCATTCCCCATTCCCTCGTCTGATGCATTCCCAAATGATCTGATGTTCCTATCACTGAAATATAAGAAAAACACTTAAAAACGAAATGAAAAAATGAAAAAAACTATACTCACTAAGTGAACGTTATGGTAAACAACACAGCTCAATTCCAACGCAATGTCACACAAAATAATTAGATCAATATGAAAATAAATCGAAATCAATGGAAATTCAAATTATCAATGAAATGTGAAACATTGAAATGGAATTAAAACATATTTAGTATAGCGTGTGTTGCTATTACGTGCAACTGATGGAGCTTTTTTTAAAAAATGCATGTTTTTACCTGTCTCAAGTGTGGCATCTATACTTATACTCACGAAATGAACGGTATGGTGAACAACACAGTTCAATTTCAACGCAATGTCAAACTAAATAATTACATCAAAATGAAAATAAATCAAAATCTATGAAAATTCAATTTGTCAAAGCAATCGGAAACATTGAAATGGAATCGTAACATATTAAGTATAGCGTGTGTTGCTCTTACCTGCAACAGATTGCGCTGTTTTTCAAAAAGAATGTTTTTTACCCGTCACAGGTGTGGCATCTATATAGTAGGTATATGAAAACATGCACGTATTCGAATAGAACGTTGTGTCAAAATTTGAAAGCACTCTGTGAAAAATTTTTGGAGATTACAGCGTGTGTTGCTTTTATGTCCAACAGATGGCGTTATTTAAAAAAAACAAAAAAAACATGTTTTTCCTGTTACAGGTGAGGTATGTATATAGTAAGTATTTAAAAACACGCGCCTAATCGAATGCAACGTTTTGTCAACATTTCAAAGCTATCGTTAAAGAGGTTTCGAAAATTTCCCTCACATGAAAAATACATGAAAAACACAGTTTTCAAAAAAACGGTTTTTTTTCTCCTGTCATAGACTTGACCTCTAAATAGTATGTATTTAAAAACCTGCTCGGATGCGAATGGAACGTTGTGTGAAAATTTCAGAGCAATCAGTGAAGAACTTTCTGAGATTAGCGATTTTGAACAAACGAACATTTACATTTTTATTTATATGAATATATATAATATATATAGGGACCCTCAAGCCTTGAAGAAGTGGATATGCAGCACCCATCGGAACCTGACACCCAAATATATATATATATATATATATATATATATATATATATATATATATATATATATATATATATATATATATATATATATATATTTCTTTCTCCCACTCTGTTTCTTTTTTGTTTTTGTTTTCAATTGTCATTTATTCCACCCTTCTATTTCCCTATTCGTTATCTCTGTCTTTCTTTCCATTTCCAGTCTCAACTCCACAACTGTTCTCTCTCTTTCCCCCTCTCCCTGCCAGTAAATATTTCTCAGTTGCTTTCTCCTTTCCCATATAGATAAAATCTCTCTCCTCCCTCCCGTTTCCTTTCCAATCCCACTAACTTTCCCTCGAATGCAGTAAATAACGAAGAAAACTAAATATAAAAACTATATACGTATAAAACATAGTTTTTTTAATTATCTTTCCTTACACTGCTGGTCTTCCCTTCACAATCTTGACTCACGCCAGCCACTAATTCTTGCGTCTCCGCCTCCCACAGCACCTGCTGGACCTCCTCAGGAAGTCTCGGTCCACCTGGTGAACCTCACCCACGCCTCCGTCACCTGGAGGCCACCTGACGCCGACCTTCAGCATGGCCTCATTACTGGATATCAGGTAAGGGAGTTGGCCCCCCACCCAGTTACCTCCGTCTGGTGAGTGTGTGAGTGTTGCGAACGCGTTTTATTTGTGTTTTGTCCCTTTTTGTCTCAAGGGTAGATATGTGTCTCAAGGGTAGACTTGTGTCTCAGGGGTAGATATGTGTCTCAAGGGTAGTTATGTGTCTCAGGGGTAGACATGTGTCTCAAGGGTTGACATGTGTTTCAAGGGTAGAGATGTGTCTCAAGGGTAGACATGTGTCTCAAGGGTTGACATGTGTCTCAAGGGTAGATATGTGTCTCAAGGGTAGACTTGTGTCTTAGGGGTAGACATGTGTCTCAAGGGTTGACATGTGTCTCAAGGGTAGACATGTGTCTCAAGGGTTGACATGTGTTTCAAGGGTAGACATGTGTCTCAAGGGGTAGATATGTGTCTCAAGGGTAGACATGTGTCTCAAGGGTAGACATGTGTCTCAAGGGTCGATATGTGTCTCAAGGGTAGACTTGTGTCTCAGGGGTAGACATGTGTCTCAAGGGTAGACATGTGTCACAAGGGTAGACAAATCTTAGAAACTGACAGGAAATCGACAGTATACCGTCCCAGCCTCCTGCAGAATTATTAAACATATTACCAGAGGGTTTGTGTGTGTGTGTGTGTGTGTGTGTGTGTGTGTGTGTGTGTGTGTGTGTGTGTGTGTGTGTGTGTGTGTGTGTGTGTGTGTTTTAGAGATAAATATATGTAGTAGATATGATAGAAGAACATCTGTCTGGAGTCAGTACATTAGACAACCGAGGGGTAGGTAGAAAGGCGGGACCCAAGAGCTAACAGCTCTATCCTGCAGGCACAAACAGTAAATATAAATAGCGAATGTCAGTTCATCATTCCTTCGAGGTTAATTCAAGATTCGTGATGCAAGATCTTTAACCTCAATGGGTGGGAGGGGGCAGGCGTGCCTGGAAAGAAGGAAAGGGAAGAGAAAGAGTAAAAGTGGGTTGGAACAGAGAGGGAGGAGGAAAAGGAATAAAGAGGGAGGCATGTAAGAACAGGATACCCCATGACTTGGGTGGGTAGGGCAGCCCGCATGGTCAGCTGCCCACCAATCTTGTTTAAACTGTCATCATTTAGACTGACTGGCTACCCCCTCTCCTTCCCTACTCTTCCCCCCTCCTTAGCCCCACCACCTGCTGCCAGGCCCCTCTATCCCCCTACATGGGACAATCTCCCTCCTTTCTTCCGCACCTGACAATCTCCCCCTTCCTCCCTCACCTGCCAATCTATCCCATTCTCCCTCCCTCCTTCCCTCCCTCTCTCCTCACCCTGACACTCGCTCCCCTCTCCCTCCGTCCCTCACCCTCTCTCAAGTACCTCTAGCACCAATAACACCACCGTCACTGTAACCACAACCACCTACAACTACTTCCACTCCTACAACAAAAACTACTTCTTTTACTACTTCTACTAAAACTACTTAATCTACCATTGCAGGTAATATCAATACTACTACTTTGTTTTAGTATTAAGGCTACTCCTCGTCCTCCTAGTGCTCTTATTTCACGTGCTTCTGCTCCTCTACCTTCCTGTCCACCTCCTTCTCCTTCTCATCCTCTCCCTCATACCACCATATAACTCTCCAAAGACCTGCTGAACTGTACTTAAGAAAGAAACAATGGTTAGATCTGCTCGCTTGCTTTGTGTTGAGGGTTTTAACAATGCAGCTGCTCCTGCTCTCTTTCTCTCTCTCTCTCTCTCTCTCTCTCTCTCTCTCTCTCTCTCTCTCTCTCTCTCTCTCTCTCTCTCTCTCTCTCTCTCTCTCTCTCTCTCTCTCTCTCTTTCTCTCTCTAAGTCTTATACATTTAATTGTCTCCCTGCGCGCAAGGATGTTTGCCAAATATGTACTGAAAGGTCAAAGGCAGATGCTGTTGTGGATTCAAGTTACAGAGTCCATAAAAGGTAGGGACCCTCAGGGGCCCTCAGGGGTCCTCAGGGGTCCTTGGGGGCCCTTAGGGGGCCCCGCCAGTGATCTCGGTGATCTGGGCTGGCAAAGTATACGAGTTTTTGTTTGGCTATAATAGGGTTGAAAGAGCCCTCTGTCATGGATATTTTTGAGCTGAAGGAACCCTTTGTTATGCAGCATGATAGCTGAAGGAACCCCTTCTCACACACTGAGGCGCTGGAACAGGAAACTGGCCGCTCGTGGGTCTCTAGTTTTCCCAATGAGTTCCTCGCCCACCTCCTTTAAAAACTTAAGTGCACATTTACCCCAGGCGCCCAGAGTCTCAGAGCCTTTCGGCACGAACCTGTAACAACGTTCTAGGTCTCTGTACTTGTTGAATTTTTGGGTCTCCCTGAAGGTGGCCGCCCCACCTCCGTCCGCTGAGCTGTAAGGTAGATAGGTATGAGCCACTGTAGATGCACACGTGTAGTCCCACACGACCTGTTTACCTTCCCTCCATGGCTGCAGGGTGATTCCGTCTGGGCGTTTTTGGCTGTTGTCAGGTCTGCACAACTGAGGTTCCCTTTGTGCTGGACACCCAGCTGTAGCCAAACTTCTCTTGATGATGTCATTGACTGCTTCATGTCTGGCAATCATTTCTTGTGTCTTACGACAGATGAGACCATGGCTGCCGTATTGGTCTGCCCGTGCATGGCCACAAATAATCCGGTGTTCGGTGGAGATAGGGGCGGCAAGGCGCAGGGCAACTCAAATATTTAGGGCCCGATGGTCCAGGTGGGTGCCCAAGGTGGAATTAGGGACTGCCAACAGGAAGTCCCCAGTATGGAAGGGTTGCACAGCTAGGAGACTCGCTCTGTCCTTTCTCAGAAGCTGCCTCCAGCAATGCTTTGGTGATGTTCTCCACTATGGGGCTATCCCATTTGGCCTGTTTACCGTCGTTTGGAAAAGTTGGTCGGGTGTGTGAATTGACAAGAGTGTAAAACTGACCAGCTCCTTCCACAAATTTGGGATCACGAATCCCAATGAAGTTCCTTAGCTACTCTGGTAGTATTCATTCACTAATTCACTTGTAGCACTGGTCGAGGATAAGAATGCCGGCAATGCTAACTATGTCGCCTTGCGAATACCAATACCCCCTAGTCTAACTGGGAGCGTTGCTTGGGTCCACTGGTCATCTTTCAGGGAGAGGTTTAACACTTTCATATTTACTGACTTAAGGAGTGAGTCATATTCCATTAATTTTTGGCTGTCGAAGGAAGGAGCACACCTGAGGAAATAGGTAAGTCTGGGCAAGGCCAGGCACCTTGTGAGAAGGTACAAAGCATCGTGAGCATCCAATGCCCCTATTCTTTCCTCCATCCTCCTCAGGTCGTTCAGCTTTTCTTCGAGGACTGCCTCAATGGCGTTCGAGCCCAGAGGTGCCCCCTAGCAGCACACTGTTGGTGGGAGCGATCACTGGGGCTCCTGGCAATAAGATTCGTACTGCATCTATGATTGGTTGGCTGGATGAGATGATTTCACACTTTGATGGGTTTAAGGGAAGACCTAGCTCCTCTCCCTTCGATTTCACTAGCTTAAGATCTCCTAGCTGGGATTCCTGTGTCCCTGCCAGAGTGCCATCGTCCAGGAACCAAATGTTGAATTCGCTGGACAACCTGCTTGTGACCTCTTTAGCTGCCCTGCAGAAAAGGAAAGGGGCAAGTGGGTCTCCCTGCTGGACACCTTCTGCGGAAACAACTTCGTGTTCCCCAAACAACAGTGTCCAGATATCCTTGGAGCTGGTCTGTATATATATAGATGCTCAGCCCATATATATATATATATATATATATATATATATATATATATATATATATATATATATATATATATATATATATATATATATATAAACGTATGTCTGTCTCTTTGCCTATCTTTCTGTCTATCTGTTTCAGTATCTGTCTTTCTCTGCCTGCCTATTTCTTTGTTACTTTGTTTATCTGTCCCTCTCTCTCCCCCTATCTTTGTTTCACTCAATATGGGTCTGTCTCCTTTATCTCCGTCTATCTGTGACTATATCTGTTTCTCTTTGTATGTATCTGTTTCTCTGTCTCTGTCACTCTTTCTCTTCATTCTGTTCTCCCATTCATTCTGCCACATTCACTTTCACCCTTTCACTAATAACTCATCTCCATTTCCCAGCATCTTCTACTCTCTCTCACTCTCTCTCTCTCTCTCTCTCTCTCTCTCTCTCTCTCTCTCTCTCTCTCTCTCTCTCTCTCTCTCTCTCTCTCTCTCTTTCTTTCTCTCTCTCTCTCTCTCTCTCTCTCTCTCTCTCTCTCTCTGAATGGGTCTATCTCGTGTCTCTTCTCTCATCACTCTCCCTTACTCTACCACTCCTCTGTCTCATCAGTTTTGCTCTATCCCTAACCCTCTATCACCATACTTTAATTCTACTTATCTCCTCTCCTCTCCTCCTACCCCCACACCCCCCACTCCTCTCCATCAGCTTTCCATCTTCAGATCTCTCTCCCTCTACTCTTAGACCCCTTCCCCTCTCACACTGCATTACCGTGATTGCTCCTTCCTAAGTTTTCGCTTGCTTTCTTTCTCTGTTTCTCTGTGTTTCTCTCTCTCTCTCTCTCTCTCTCTCTCTCTCTCTCTCTCTCTCTCTCTCTCTCTCTCTCTCTCTCTCTCTGTTTGAACCATTTGTCTGCAAAAAGCCCCTGTAAAGTCAGTTATAATTTTATATCTAAAACATCAGGTAATTGTAAGAACATACTGCAAATGTGAGTTATGCGTGCAAAAGACTAATCCCAAATGAGAGATGACGTTGCTGAAAATGTCCCTGGGTGAGTGAGGGAGCCCCTGGTTGACTGCCTTGAGTTGTTAGGGCCGTCCTCTGGCTGTCTTGGGAAGTTGGGCCAAGCAGAGGCCAAGGGAGAGGAGGCCTTGAGCTCGTTAGCCGCGGGGACGTTGATCCTCGGGACAAACTCGAGGTTCCGTAATGGTCAAGTGCTAACGTCATGCCTCCGGGATGGCTACAGTATATAGCCACGAAGGGTCGAAACTCACAGGTAAA